TGAGAGTAATCTCGGAATACTCTCTTTAGAGATTAGTCGTACAATTTTTTGCAGGGACATGCTCGAACAAAAGCGATCAGTTCATTGNGATCTGCAATTATACCCATAAGGGATGAGTCGAGACTAATTGACCTCCATTAGTACCCGTATGAGACTAGTTGCGACTAATTAATGCCCAATTGTACCTGATTGAGAGTAATCTCGGAATACTCTCTTTAGAGATTAGTCGTACAATTTTTTGCAGGGACATGCTCGAACAAAAGCGATCAGTTCATTGCATATAAAGAGATAAAAAGTGGTATTAGTCGCATGCTCCTTTGCGATTGCTCCCGGAGTAATCCCGGATTAGTCCCATTTTTTGCAGGGCGACCACTGATCTAAATGCAAATAGCACGGTGATTAACAAGATTTACATTAACCCTAGAAAGATAACCCTACTGAAAGTTGCGGAAAAGATAACCATACGTCTGTGAGACGTATCATGGTTTGCTTGCCTTAATTTTATGGTATAAATATTTTATGAAAATTTTTCTCAAAGATATGAAGTCTTTAAATATTTATTTATTGCATTTTATTTAAAAGTATTCTTCATTTAAAATGAAAATGCCACCGATTTCAATCTTCAATATAGAGCGAAACGTTTAAAAAGGATACGTCTCGCAGACGTGGGTCATCAAAGCTTAAAAGATATAACTAGTAAGGTAAGGTGTTACACTTGTCTCGATACAATGTTTGACCAATTGGTTCTTACATACTACAGACTTGATGAGCTAAGCGTATCAAACCCAATATTAAGTTTAAAACCGCCGCGATTTTAAACTTAATTTGAATGTATTTCACGCAGAAAATTGGGAATTTCTATTTGGAAAATTTGTTTTTGTGAATTTTGATTTTGGGGATTTTGATTTTGAGGATCTTGATTTTGGGGATTTAGATTTTGGGGATATTGTGGTACACCCATGCCAAGCATATGAATACTTTTTACCATTGTGAAATTATACCAGGTGATATGAAAAGGGCGAGGATTGATTTGATCCCATCTTGTTTGAATATTTGCCATTAAAATTTTTAATTAGATTGCCGAATTACAGAAATTAAAACAATAAAGCTGTTTTATTAATTCACCTGTTTATTGCGCCATGAATTTTTACTAATTCGTACACTAAATATTTATGAAAGAATTTAATTGTATGCTTATGTATTTTCTTTATCTTTTATAAATGACATGACTCAACTTCGTATTGCATTGATCTTCAAAATACCCCATCCATAATCGGCCGTAATTATTACAATACGACAACAACTGCTAAAGGGGCAATTCTTTTCTGGAAGCTCTTATCGTATATATCTGTTGGGAAATCCTATAATCTGGTGGAGTAACTTGTTTTTCCTGTTTACCTTTTTGGTTGTTTCTTTGGTAGCAGCTGTAAAGCAACGTCGTTTGGAAGGCCAACAGCTTCACCTGCAATTACGAAAACAACAGACGTCCAATCCAAAGGTTTATAAAACAAGATTTCCAAATGACGGTAATATAAACACTCTTTTTATTAACATTATAATTGCTCTTTAAGGCACAGAATCAAGCTCTCAAGAAAACTCACAAGAGATATTTTTAATTATTTTTGTTGCTTGAAAAAACACTTTGCTTTTGATATAAATTTTCTATGAGAAATAAATATACGCGCATTATTTTCTTGAGAGCTGCAAACTGATTTAAGAACTTGATAAAAGAAAATTTATGTATTTTCCATTTCTTGTGCGTCATTTTATGTAATTTTTTGTTTTTCTTGAGAACTGGAAACAGCCCGAATTATATTCGACTTTGAAAAACGAAATGGAATGATTCGTTACAAAACCTAAGCGTGTTTCCATGGTACAATTATTACAGGTAAATATTGTCCTCCCAGAGAGCGCATATTCTGATTTACAAAATAGTTTCATTCCTTATCTTTTTGGACTAAAATCTGAAAAGTGTCAAAATGCCAGAGCGTAAGCAAAATGCGCTCACTAAAAGAGAGTAACAGGAAAAGTAAAGGAACGCAAAAAACCAAATTTTTAGTCCAAAGAATGGCAACAACAAAACTAACGTCAAATAAGAACAGAAATGTATGTACAAAACACATTCACACAAGCACAAGCACAATAAACACTTGCTATATCAATTATTTTTTGCCTCCTTCCAATTTCAATTCATTTCTTTTACTTTTTAGATTATTCTCACTTTTTGCGTATTCTTTAATTTCCGTTAATTTAAATTCAGTTGAGTTTGACACTTTTCAGGTTGTTGCCAGGAAAAATTCTTCAGACTAAATCTGACTACTTCGGACTGATGAGAGTCGCTCTCACTGACTGTTGCTCTCTCATTTTTGCTGTCATTTCCGAGTTAAGGAACGCTTTTTGGACTAAATCTGACTACTTCGGACTTTTTCTGACTATTTCTGGGAGATAAAGAACGCGCCTAATATAATTGCCCACAATAAAAGTTTATGTTAAGGGAAAAAGGGATATCGTAACTAGACACGAATAAAGGCGCGAACTCAAAAAATGGCCGCGAAAAAAGACGCATAAAAAAACTTTAGCTAAGAAAGACTCTAACATAATTGACGGCGAAGGAAGACGCCCTAAAATATTTGACGGCGAAGATGGACGCGTAAACTTATTTTTGCGGTGAACTATGGTTGCGGGTGTAACAGTAGATATGTAAATTCCCCAAAGAAGGTATATTCCTTATCTTTTTGGACTAAAATCTGAAAAGTGTCAAAATGCAAGAGCGTAAGAAAAATCAGAGAACTTAGATAGATAGAGAAGCAGAGAACTTATAAAATAGAGAAGATGCATATTTAGGTTGCATCGAACATTTGTCTGAAACGTTTAGAGGACGGAATTTCACCATCCTATTTTAACATTTCGAGGTTTCTTAACATTTGAAATTTAACATATTTCTCACCAAATGCTCCTTAAACAATGTTGCATGAACCTGGGCAAGTTGTTGCCGAGCAGAGAACTTTTATTAATAATCACACATCATGAAATATGTTTGCAATGTTTTCTGCAAACATTTTTGATACAATTAATACAACAAATTTTTGTCTTATTATTCCGAGTACAATGTACATATTTCTGGTTTCAATTCCTATTGCGTAGCTGGTTCGCTTCTATATAAGTTTAAAAACATATCCTTTTTTGTTATTGCTGTTTCCGAGAGAACGAAAAATGACACTGAAGATGGCACAACGCTGAAACCGGTTTGTCTCCAAACCAAATTTGACAAGGGGTGACGGAAATTCGTTCTAAAATACATCATTATAAACATCCTTTGGGAAAATTTTCCAAAACGGATCCAGGCTTTGGAAAAAACAAAATATTAGGGAGTATAGAGGAGCTTTTTCAGATTCTCAATCTGAAGACGCCACCCTCCGGAGCCTTATAGTTTTTAAGTAAATCGCATTTAAAGTTGCAAAAAAATACCGAATTCAACTTCCCTTTTTCCCTTGTACACCAACTGAACTGAAATGTCAGTGCTGCCATTCATACTAAAAAATGCCAAAAAAAACCCAAAACGGAAACAATGAAAAAATGCACATACGCCACAGG